AAAATCTGTTTTAAATAAAATTACAAACTACCAGACTCTTGTCAACCATATAAGTTAGGACTGAGCTAAAAGCACATCCTTTGTCATTCTCTTTCTCTTATTTAAATTTATAAAAATTCTTTCCAGTTCTTGGAACATGAATTCATCTGTCCCTAGACATATTATATTCAGTKTCTCAATTTTTCCTCCTTGTGACATATATCACTATGGATACTATATGCTTAATAATACTGGAATAGTCTTCTAATGAATAATTCTCATTTGGTACATGCTTATCCCCCTGAATTTTCATATTCTGTAATGTTTATTACCTCTTCATTAAGAATACTGTCTTTAGGCATTTATTATCCTTATAATTGTGATATTGTGATGTATAGTAAACACACACACACATACAACAAACACATTCAGATATATATACTCTTTGTCCATGAGTTCCATCCTTGACTTCAACCAGTTGTGGATCCAAAATAATTTTTATTGCATCTGTATCTAACATGTTTAGATTTTTTTTACCATTATTCCCAAAACAGTACAGTATAACAATGATTAAYGTGACATTTGCATTACATCAATTATTATATGTAATCTAGAAATGATGCAAGTACATGGAAGGATGTGTAGGAAGATGTACCTAGATTATACTTTTACATTTTATTCAAAAAACTTGAGTTTCTGCTTTGGTTTCCTTAGGTGTCCTGGAACCAGCCTTCTCCCCACCCCACCCCCAGGACACCAAGGGATGACTGTATTTGGTCATGGTTCTCTTTTCCTGCCAAATAGCTCTTGTAAACCTTGGAATCTCCAGAGTGATGACTGCCTTTTGTATATTGGTAAGATGACTGGTGCCCTGCAGACCCTAGTTACCTTCAGGATGGGGTGKGGAATGGTCATCWGAAAGACCATACATAATCAGGGTTGATAATTTCAGCTTAGGAAGAGAGACTGAAGTTTTAGTTAATCACCAGTGGCCAAAGATTTAGTCAATCTTGCCTACATAATATAGCTTTTATAAATGCTAAAGGACAGGGTYCCTAGAACTTCCAGATAAATGAACACATGTAGGTTCCTGGAAGATGGTGCACCTATAGTRGGCAAAGCAGCTCTGCAGCCCTTCCTGTACTGTTAACTCCCTGTCCATCTCTTTATATCTTTTGTAATATTCTTTATAATAAGCCAGTAAGTATAAGTAAAGTGCATTCCTAAGTTCTGGGCTGCTTTAGCAAATAGTTGAACTCCAAGAGAGGGTAGTGAGGAACCCCAGTGGTTTTAGCAGCTTTTCACTGCTGTGACTAAATGACCTGACAAGAACAGATATAGAGGAGGAAAAGTTTATTTGGGGGCTCAGAGTTTCAGAGGTCTAAGTCTCGACAGCTGGCTCCATTTCTCAGGGCTTAAGGTAAGGCAGAACAGGGCGAAGAATATGACAGAAGGAAGCAACTCACAAAATGATCAGGAAGCAGAGAGATTCCACTCTCCAGGTGCAAAGGCACACCTCCAATGCCCCATCTCCTCCGGCCACACCCTATCCACTTTCAGGTACTATTAATCCTAAGGGATTAATTCACTGATTGGATTAAGACTCTCATAATTGTCATTTCTCCTCTGAACTTTGTCTCACACATTAGTTTTAGGGGGACACCTCACATTCAAACCATAACACTCAGTGTATAGTCAGTCAGTCAGAAGCATCTAAAATAGAGGGCTGATTTGTGGAACTGAACCCTTTCCCTTTAGAATACACTGAGCTCTGACAGTAGATGATGTCGGCATTGCATTGAATTAGAGGACACCCAGCTGTGTTGTTGCGGAATTCATGCTTGCTTTGATCATATGGGAAGAACTGCACCACCCACCTATCTAACACACACACACACACACACACACACACACACACACACACCCCTATCTTTGGACACAGGAGTGTAGTTGAGATTATAGGAATAATAAACTTTGTCCCTCCTCCCCTTAATAATAAATAGGATTATGTTTCTTTAAGGATATAACTCACTGGACCCTACTTTTCTATTTTCTGTCTCTTCTGGATTTCTAAATTTGCTGTCCTAGTTGTTTTTGCCTTTGCCTTGAGAATCAATTTGCATCTTAGTTCCTATCACTTAAATTGACACATATTCTTCAAATTTCTTGGGCATTACCCCCATTTTTAGGCCACCCATATTCTAAACCTCCTTGATTTTTCCTATAATACTGAAATGTATAGTTTTTTTTTTTTTAACTAATCTATCACTTGTGTTGTGGGATGTTTCTGGAAAAGCAGTAGTGCAATGTATAAAGGTATAAGAAGGTCATGAACCCACAGAGAGACTGAGCTAAGGAGRTAGGGAAATTGCTGCAGTTTTATAAGCCTATCAATTGTGCTTTCTCATAAGAATTTGAATTTGTTTTACAAAGAAAAGGGGTGGTTCTACTTCTAAAGCAGAAATTTTAATGAATATCTATTCATTGGCTCTAGCCTTTCTGAACACTTTTCCTCTACCTATTAGCAATTAATTAAGATAATTTTATTATATGTTTAATCACCTTGACCTTTAATCAATTAGCTATATCAATTACAATCATTATTSTTAGTTATTAGTGAAGAAAGCAGGGAATTGGACTTGGGTAGCTTAGACTTAGGTTTGAATTATTGGTTTGCCAAATACTAGATCATGTGCCTCAACTGAACCAAATGTGAGAATAAAATCATATCACATAAGTATAGCATCAGAACATTTCTTTAAAAAATGATATCTAGTGCAGTATTGATGGTAGTAGAAGTGATAGTATTTAGCACTAGTTTCAAAAAAAAATTGTGGTTTCTGATTTGATTTTATTTCCTGGAAAAAAAGTAATTTATATAAATCTTTCTTCAAAATTTGTACATTTGTTCTTCTTTGTAAAAGGAAAATTGAGTAAATGATAGGATAGTTTTAGTTTGAAATCTTATACAAGAATTAAAATTGAATAATATATTTAAAGCTTTTCTTAATTTTTAAAAAATATGTAATAGGTCCTTTGCTAAGTGCTTACATGACTCATTCATTTAATTGTTAGGCTAACCCTAGAAGATACCTATACTGTTTTCATCTCTATAAACACTRTATTGTTTTTGTCTGTTTTGTCAATAAGGTAACAACAGACTCAGAAGTGATGTGACTGCTGAAGTTCATACAAATAAGTGGTAGAGTCARTATTCATACCTATATAATTTTGGAGTCTGTACTCTTAACCTTATCACATTATGTTTTTGTCCAGTAAACACTATGAAAAAATATCTGGGTTATATTTTTACTTTCAAATGGAAGACACTATTTTTAGTCATTTTCAGATATATTTATAATAAAAGTTCTGAATATTTATATGTAGAGTGTTTTGAGGGTACACTATTAAATTACTTACAATAAAAAGAAAATTCTTTTTTTCCCAGTGTGTTCATTGTTTTTTAAATTGCCTACAGTATAATATTGTAACCTAACAATTATTAACTAAGAATCTGATATAAAAAGCCTTCCTATATCATTTTTTGAGTATTAAATATGACATTATTATAGGTAGGGGAATTACTGCACTTTTATGAGCCTTATCAATTGTGCTCATAAGAATTTGTTTTACAAAGAGAAGGGGTATTTCTACTTCTAGAATAGAAATTTTAATGAATATCTATTCATTGGCTCTGACCTTGATTGAAATATCATTTTGATATTATCATAATAGTGGYATAGTAGCTCCTCTTTTCACACATGTTCCAAGGCCTCCCAGTAGATGCCTTATACCACAGATATTACCTATGTTGGTTAATTTTCTATCACTGTGACAAAATAATCAATTAAAAAAGGAGGAAAGGTTTGKTTTTTGCTTACAGTTTTAGAGATTTCAGTCCATGAACACTCAGCTCTAATTTTTTGGGCCGGTGGCAGCATGGTATATCATGATAGATTGTGTGATGAAAGATACCTCTTTACCTCCTGGTGGCCAGAAAGCAAAGAGAATAAGAGGAAAGGGCTAGATCCCAATAGTCCCTTCAAGGGGGTACCCCTAGTGACTCATCCTCCTTCCAGGTGGTCCTACTTCCTAAAGGTTGCATCATCTCCCCAAAGTGCCACAAACTGGTGCCTTTAACATATGCCTTTAATACGTGGAACTTTGGGAGATAATCTAGATCCAGATTACATACTACATTTTTCATATGCATACATTCCTTTGATAAAGTTTAATTTAATTTAAGATAAATTAGGCACAACAAGCAGTTAACTATAATATTAAAGTAATACACTTATAACAATATACAGTGATAAAAGTTATTATGGTAACACTCTGAAAATATACTGTACTCACCCTTATGATGATGAGATTTAATGAAGTGCCTATATGATGAGATTTAATGAAGTGAATGATGTAGGCGTTGTGACGTAGCATTAGATTACTATTGATCTGTTGACCTGAAGTCAGAACTGTTTCAGGTGATCCTGGATTATAGAGTCGTCATAATGTTGGGTGGGTGGCATAATACAGCATAGATACACTGGGCAAAGGGATGATTTACATCCTGGCTAGGATGAAGTGGAGTGCCTAAGAATTTCATCAGGCATACAATTTTAAAGTTACAAATTATTTCTATAATTTTCYATTTAATATATTTGGACCAAAGTRATCTKCAGGTAACCAAAACCAAGGAAGTGAAAGTATAGATAAGGGAAGACTACTAAAGTTAGTATTTATCMGTTACTTTGTTTCGGGTATTTCCATGGATTTCCTCATTTAATCCTTTCAACAGTCCTTTGTAGAATGTATATTCTTGTTTCTGATTTTCAGCCCMTTAAACTAAGACTTAAAGAGCTTATATAACTGCCTAAAGGTTCACAGGAGTGATGAAAGTGGATTATGAGCCCTCAATTATTTTTACTACTTATAAAATAGAATCAGCAGTTTTGAAACAAAAGTTACTGAAATTATGAAACATTTGTGAGATTTTCTTTATGTTTTTATATTTTTTCTTTTAGGTTCACAATATTCTTGCAGAAATGGTGATGGGGGGAATGGTATTGGAGACCAACATGAATGAGATTGTTACACAAATTGATGCWCAAAATAAACTGGAGAAATCTGAGGTAAGAAGGGAAAATTTTGCTCTACTTAATGAAGGTTCTAAGCATGATCATAAATAATGCATGGTATGTAACTTTCACCGTTTGTCGTTCAATATCACCCTTTAGGTACAGCTGGTTTGTTTATTCAGGTTTTAGAAATGGAATATACACATTTTAGTATGTTAAATGTCCTGTGACTATTATCCAACAACTAGCTTTATGTTATTATTCTTTTAGCCACAATTGTAACTGCCTTGGTTAATAAACACAATTCCAAATTCTTTCTGGAAAGGGAAAGGAGAGGTGATGGAATTCTTATGAGGAAGTAATATTTCAGATTATGTGCTTGGAAAGTCTGAGTGCACACTGAAAAAACAAATTCAGTACCTCAATTTTTAGATTCTGGACTTTCTCAAAGGTCACTGACAAATTAGTTAAGACACATTTTAATACATTGATACAGATATTTATGATTTTTATGGCATTATAAAAAGAAAGTTTGGGTTTACTTTGCTAACTTTGTGTTATTTGATTCAGTATTAGAATGCATGAATTAAGGATACTCACACTTCTGTATTATATAAAATCCTACTTTACTTTAGAAATCTAGTGACTATTTCCTCAAAAACTAGGCTGAATGTCAGCAGAACATGTTGTGGCTAGGCCACTCAAATTCACATTATTTTGGTGCTGTCTTATTATCTTAGCCAAAGTTTAGAAAGGTAAAGTGTCTTGATATCTCATTCAATGCTGTATTAGAAATTTCATCAGAAAATTTTCATACTCTTATATTTTCTACTTTTAGCTCACATGTTTGATTGGTTTAAAGTAAATATTGCTATAAAAGCAGCAAAGGATTAATTAATACASTAGCATTAATGTACAAAAGGTGAGTTCTGAAAAATTTTCTGTTGACATTTTAAAGAATCAGTTTGACACAATTCTGGCTCATTTGAATTATGGAAATAAAAGATGATGGATTAAAATAAATTTGAGGGTTAGCAACAATTGAGGCTTTCTGAAAAACCCTTTCCAGAGTTCTTAAAGTAAAAATAGTCCTGTATTTCTCCTCATCTAAAGTGGCTAATTCCCATTGACTTTCCTAAGGGGAGAGGCTTGTAGTGATGACAAAGAGCTTAAACTTAGGACTGTTTTAAGTGACTGTATATATTTTGTATGTTCTGTAGCCAGTTTTTAAAATWTTGGAGTTTGAATGAAGAAAGCATAATGTAGGATAATAGAGAAAATTTTGTTTTAGAACAAAGAAAAGGACTCCAAATATTTAGTACAATTGAATATACTATTTAGTATAGTAAAAGACTCATTGCAAAATCTACACTACAGTTTGTAAAGTCTTAAAATGACAATTTGAAATGTATGTAAATTACTAAACATTGCTTCAAAAAGCTTGTACCTTATAAATTTTAAATGCAAAGGAGCAGTGACATGATTCATTAATAATAGGTCTAACGTGAATGAATAATTTGTGAATTTTGTATAATTATCTGTAAAAATATATTGACCACTTGTTTGGAATTTTCACATTTTTAAGTACTTACCTCCTCCCATTGGTGGTGTCCCCCCCTTTTTTTCTTTTRCTCTTTAGCGTTAACTATGTATAGTTTTTACAAAAGTCATGAAGGGCCTGTAATGCATTATAGGTATTTTCTTTTTGATTGTCCATTAAAAATATTTTAATAAAACAGTTTTTCTTATCTATAAAGAGCAGTGAAGTGCAGTTTACATTTTGATGGGAATATTATAGTTATGAAATTGCCCTAACTTAAAAAAATATTTTGCAGAAACAGCACTATTTAAAYAGACACTGGTGCATGCTTCTATTATTTATCTACTGATCATATTCTAACACATATAACCTGTTGTTATCTGTGACCATATTAGTTTTTCTTTTWGTACTTTAAAGGAAGGCATGTTTTAAATCTGGGAATAAACCACAAAGTTGTACATTTATCAAGTGTTTCTCTACACAGGGTACCTGCTAATATTTTAATGATGAAATACCTTTTTGTGTGTCAAAGTGAGACCATTTAGTCCTTATCATAGTTTAAGAAATAGTGTTGAAAAATATATCAACTTAATGTAATCTTCCAGCAATGTGTGTATTTTTAAGTATGTTTAGATGGCTGAGCTTTATTCCAGACACATTGAAATGAGAAAAGTTTTCATATATTTTTAATTTTTATTTTACTTCAACTGGTTAGATTTATCAAGAAATATAACTCTATAGATGAACCCAAATTATTTGAGAGCAAAGTATAGACTTATTAATCTCTTACCAAATTTGTTATAATTTTTATAAAGCAAAAACTGAAGAAGAAAGAAAATTAAAATTCTGAATATCATGATTGATGAGAAGAACTGATAATTATATTTTTAAAATTCTAAGCAGTTCTTTAGGAGTAGCATTCATCTTTTAAAAAACCACTCTGAATATAATGTGGATTTATCTAGGTGCTTGTCAGAAATAAAAGATTTTATTACATTGGTTCAAAGGTCATACACTTCCAGTTTAATTCCCAACACCTAAACAGATAAAAACAAAGATCTACCAGATCCTCAAAGAGGAGAAACAGAAATACTCTGAATGTATTTTCATCTATTCTGGTTTACTATAACATTGGGATCTTGGGAGAGGAGGGTTTAAGCTGGGAGGTTGGTGGGATTTGGTAAGTTTAAGAGGTACTCAGGAATCTGCCTAAAAATGAAATGACTCTCTGGGGGCGGAGGTAGAGGGTGAGGTGGGGAGGCTTGTTAGCTTTTATATATTTCATGTTATCTTAAGATGGATAAATGAGTCTGAATTTAGTCACTATTTTTTTTWWAAAAATCAGTCCTCTTTTTTTCTGAACATCCTGATCTTTCTAGCTCTTTCCATTCTTCTCTCTTACAGACCTTTATCTTTCAGTCTCCCAGACAGGACAGGTAGACAAGGTATTGCTGACTTTGAGAAAAATGTACTTTACCAAAGGGAAAGCAAAATGATGTCAAAGGCAATTAATCATTTAGGCCAGACTCAAAAATTCTTTGTGTTAATGAACCCATATAGTCCCTGTAGCCTATTTTCCATTCTAGTTTCTCCTTGTAGTTTCTTCATCTTTTATTGGACTTAGTGTATTTTACTAGTATATCATTGATGTCATGTTTGTTCTGTTTTGTCTGCCTGCATTGTAAAAGGAAAGTTTAAATTTTTTGTTCCTTTTTAAAATATTGTCATTTAACTGACAAATTGCATTTGTAGAAATGACAATTTACTTTGTATATTTTGAGCATGATGTGACAGAACCAATCTTAATTTAACTTTCAAATGTTTTATCCATCTCCAAATTAGGATTCTAACATAAAATTGCCTGCTGGGTTTTGGAAGCTGTGAATTTAAAAACCCAAAGCTGAACTTTTAGAGTTTTGCATACAAAGTGGGAAGCAGTAAAGTCTTAGAATAATGACTGTTAAATAGTACTTCTTCCCCCCAAAATGGTTTTCAGTTCCAAAGTCTTAACAGAATTGCCTTTAGAGTTTTTGACCTGCAGGTGCATGTTAATAGTGGCCAACAAAAAGTAAGATCAGAAATCTCTTAAAACTTGATGAAGTGCTCTAAAAATAGGATTAAATATATTACCAAGAAACACTGGATTTCTGCTGTAGCAAATCTTCTGACATCCAAACATATCCTAATTAGAATCAATTAAATTTCTTGAAGCTTGAAAAATTTTGCAAAGTATATTGGCAAATATTGGAAGTGTTTTTAATAGAGTCCTTGCTTTACAAAATTATTTTTCTTCAGTTTTTTGTATATGTTTCATACCATAAATTAGAGTAAACTACATTTTTGARAGTTCTGTGTAGATGGTGATGAGCAGTTTTTTTGGCAACAAGAAATTTCAGGAAAGGATAAAAATATTTATATGCCTCCAATAAGAACTTTCAGTTGAAAATACCTTACTTGAGTCTTATGGAGGAAAAACAGTTTATAAATTTAACAAGGTAGGTTATCCAGTTGACTAATTAGAAAAAACATGAGAATTTGGCATGCTTTTCAGCTACTGCATTATTTGTGTTTGAGAAGTAGCAACATACAGGTGGCTTTGTAATATCTTAGAATAAGATTATGGGCTATATCATGAAGCTGGAGTACCGTTTTTGGTTCCAGTGTTCAATTTTATTTTGTCTCTGTTATGGAAAATACTTGGTAACCTATTCACTCTATAAATTGAGAGCACTGCCAATTTCTATGTTGCAGTATTTAGTTTATATTAATCTGCAATTTTCTATCAAAGAAACCATCAACCACTTGGGTRTGTTACAATTATTAATTGGCTTTTTAAAAATTCAGGTATTAATTTCAAAGAGTAGAGAGTAGGAAAAGTGACCTTAAGATAAAGATGGCGGGAAGGTCTGCCATGAGTTGATTCTGCCCCTCTCCCTTGATGTGCACATTTATTTTGTACTTCTACAGAATCATGGTGAGGGACCCTTAAGATCCATTTACGATCAAACTAGTTGTAATAAATCCAGGAATGTCATTAGTCTGCTATATTTATTTCACTCATACAGGCAAATTCTGTTAGAAATTAAAACTATAACTGAAGATAATTTATAAAATGACTAGTAATTTTTTAAGATTTTTGAACATTCTAATTTTGATAAAATTGTTTATAAAATCCTTTAGTTTTTGCTCACATCACCAACATTTTTAATGTGTTTATAATTACAGTGTTAAAKCACTGTCTTTGAAGTACAGAACAAGCCTATTGTAAATCCTGATTAAAAATTATTATGCCTCATATTCAGAAATTAAAACATTGAAATTTCTGTTTTGCTCAAAAGCATGCATTCAAAATCTGACATTATTTTGTTAATGATTTTGAGTCTGAAACCATTTAATATTATATTTATTAATGTTGGTGTTCTTTCACCTTCCTGTTAGGTCAAAGTTATGAATACGCACTTAGCAATTTCCAGCAGAAGGTTGAGRAAAGAATTTAGTATGTACAAATGATTCCAGCTACCATCTTATTATACTATATTTCAAGCTTGCAAAAACTATTTTAAGGTGGTAGATGGTATTTTATGTCTTAGATGAAATAAGATTATTAATTCCCATTTCCCTTCAGGAAAGTTAATTGCTTATTGCATGAGGAAAGGGGAGCTTTCCAGTTCTTTGAAATATATTTTAGCAATGCTGCTTTTTCAGTTTTGCTTGCTCATATTTTGTTTATTTTTGGGTCTGGCAATTTAAAAAGAAAATAAAAAACAAATCATATCCATCCATTACTATCTTTGTGATTCAAGTGCTTGAAATTTCCAAGAGTATGTCTGTATAAGTCTTCTATCTGTTTGGCCTCATTTTGGTATACTTGCAGACTTCATTTTGTTTTCTTTCTCTTAATTCTGTTAATTTAATCTCATGGGAGAGAAAACATGCCCATTCTTTTATATACTGTACTTCATTCTTTCATCCAGTTTCATACTCTTAACTGCTTTGGATTCATATATTTGTTTTTGTTAGTGGAGTTGCTGCAGTTTACCTGCCATGGTGGTGCTCAAGTATAACAGACGAAACAAGTTATTTCTCTAGTAGAATTTCATTCTTTTTCTTTTTGCTTTATGTCAATTATGTAATCTTAAATCTTTAAGAACTATGTTGTACTGTCAGGAATATCTTCCTTTATATTTTTAAATTGTGTGTACTACTAACAAGTCAGGTAAATAATTTCTGTAAATTTTAGTGTTAAAAAAGTTAAGTTTTAGTAAAAGTTATCCTATTGCTCTGCATATATCTTACTAGAAAAAAAATTTAACCAAGATAAAAATTACTTTATACCTCAGTGTTAGCAAATGGATTTTCTAATCGCAGATTACTTCCTTTACATTTTATGCTTTAATAAAAATGTTTCAGACTTTACTTTGATGGAAGTCTGAAAACAAAATTTGTTTCATGACTGTTTTGATGTTGATTGCCTGAGTAACATAGTCCTTTTTTTTTAAGCCATAGTTTTTATATATCAAAATTGACAGTTTATTTAAGCATCTGCTTTCTGATCAACAGTCTTTATTTTTTCTTCTTCACATTTAATATTCTTCACAATCTGATTTCTTAAAATGTCAAATAAAACTTAACATATATGTTATAATATTTAAATTTCTTACTACTTCAATTTATGATATACTACACAAACGTATTGAACATGCTTGAGAAATAATTTGATTCTCTTAATTCATCTGCGTGTTCTAAATAGTTCCCATCCTTTGCATGTCTATGGCTTGCTGCTTATGTTTAGAAGAATTATAGATTGTTGTATTTAGAAACTTCTGATTGTATATAATAAGAACATGGCACATACATGCTATTTAAATCAATTGCTATATTGAATTTATATATTCTTATTAATAATCCACAACCAAACTCCATTTTTAGTCAAAAAGAAACAATTTAACCTAATGAAATAACAAGATAATTTTTTTTAATTCTCATTTTCCTTGCTTAAGTTTAGTTTAGCTATACATGGTAAAGGATATTGTGGAAAATAAGGCTTTATGACATTTAATTTAATAGTAAAATATTTATGTTTTACTATTTATARATGTAAACCATAAAATCCAGTAAATACACACCTACATATTCTTTTKCACAATAACATCCTTTAATACTTCATAACTTTTAAAATAATTATGTCCAAATATTTTATCAATATATTCTATAGTCCACTTATAATTTGTATCTTTATGGAAATTGCAAAGTRAAAATATTGGCATTTTATTAGAAAAATTACAAAATCCCTTTACCTGGAAAAATGATGCTAATTCCATAATGTCTGCAGTTTGTAAAATAATTTTTGTTCCTTTGGCAGACAACATGCTTTCTGRTAAAAGAATGTTTACAGGGTGGTAAACCTGTTTGAGCTGAATTCTTCTTTGATCGTAGTCTATCTATTCTAAATTTTGGTAGCTACACCTTTAACTTGAAATGATTAAATTAAAGAAACTTTTGAATATGGTGCTTACTACCCTAAGTAAACATTTTTTGAAGGAATAGGAGGGAAGTGGGGTATTACATAAATTTCTCTGCTTCAGGTAGGTATAAATATAGAAGTCAATCGAATTTTTAGTTGTATATTAAGAACARCTAAACTCCATTAAATAATAAAAATTGAATTATCCAGCCCTGCATAGTCTTTAGTTTGGGTATGGAGTTTTTGATTCATCTAGATAACTCTTATTGCCTATGTGCACCATATCTATTATTAACACTATTTTACTAACTTTTCTATTTCCAATTCTGAATTGATGATCCATGGCTTTTATTTCATTGCTTAACAATGTTTGTATCCTTTATTCAGCAAATAGTTTACACTGGCCTATTTTGTATCAGTCAAGATTTTTCTCAGGTAACAGCTTTATTATTATTATTATTTTAATTAGCAAAAGAGGTAGGATTACATAAAAGAAAAAATAAAATTATGAAAAGGGACTTTAAAAACTACRTAATTTCTCATACTATCTTACATATATGAAATCTAAACAAATTGGAAGATTTGTTTTTGTTAGTACTTAATTTTCTACTTTTGTGCAAGATGATACCACTGAACTCCCTTGAGTTTGTTGGCTTTTCTTTATTATATTGAAGTGGTGCTATTATGTTTTACTACATAAAAGTRCTGAAATTTTATTGGTATATAAGTTATACCTGAAATATGAATGCTATTGATTTTCACATTCAGAAAAATGATATACATGAATTTTTCTTTTATTTTTAAGCATAGTTTCTTCCAAAATTATTTCAAAAATTTTAAGTATTCCTATTAAGTGGAAAGCCAAATATTGTGCACTAGTGGTACTGACTGAAAATTTTMAATTTCATTCATTTACATATGCTTTTCCTTCTCTATAACTGTATGCTACAAATTAAATATGATGTTGAATCTATATAAAACATTTTTAATCATTAGAAGTTTTACTGATGCATTAAAGTTAAAATCTTTTTGTTTTTTTTGCAGTTTCATCTTTAGGTAAAACTTTTATCTTTGGATTCAGACTTCATTTAAAAATCCTGATTTTTTTTTTCCTTTTTAGTGTTCTAGAAATTTTATAAAAGTTTAGAAGAACCCCCACAATTAAAAAAAAAACAATTTTGTTGTTTTGAAATGTTTRTAAGGGTTTAGCCCTGAATAATGAAACTAAAGTATAATTTATTAATTTTTTGAAGCACATATTGATARTAAATGCCATTTTAAAAGAAAAAAATCATGATTGTTTGCAAGAGATGTTTAATAAGGAAACTAATGTAAATTATGCTCTGGGCTTATATGTCACTTAAATCAAAATATAGGTAAAGATTTAGCTTTTGTTTTGTGAATATTGCCTAKCATATCTAGGTAGTACCCATTAATTTGTATTTAAATCTTTACATTGTTATTATTGCATGTATTCACTGTATTTTTAAATGTGTCAACTGTTTTCTCTTTATAGATTAGTATTCAGAGTAACCATCTCATATCAGTTCAAACTACCATCTGGTTTCTAAACTTGTTATGTGAAAATCTTTTTTCATTGTCTTCCATTATAAGTGTTTTATGATGAACTACACCTGAGTTGTACATTTTCTTTTTCTTTTATTTACTTCTGTATGCAGGCTGGCTTAGCGGGAGCTCCAGCCCGTGCTGTATCAGCTGTAAAGAATATGAATCTTCCTGAGATCCCAAGAAATATTAACATTGGTGACATCAGTATAAAAGTGCCAAACCTGCCCTCTTTTAAATAAAATATTAAAAAGGCCACTCCCAGGTAAAATCCAGGGGGAAAAGTCATCTAAGTTTACCGTGCAGTTGTTTACCAAAAATAGAGGAGGAGAGTTTTAACTTTTGCTCTTGGATTTAAGTCAAGGTACTGTATAGAAATTGTGTAAAATCAGTATGGAAGTTCAATGTTGCTTTTCTTGCTCAGTGGTTTAAAAGAAATTGAGTAGTTCCAGTGTGATTTTTTTTTTCCTTATTAAAACTGCATTCCTATGCCCACCTAAGGCATGCCTCTGTGTATTGGCTATTACAGTATTTCGAAAAGTAAGATATTTCTTTRATTATGTACAACCTAAAATGTTGGTGTTTTGTATGGATCATCAGTGCAGCATTCCTAATTCTTTCTGCTATTTGTCACAATTGTTATTTAAAGAACCAAGTGTGTATTGCATGAAAACATTATGACCTTTTTCTCTTAGTTTAAATAAATTCCAAGGTAACTGGACTTCTAAAGCACCTGTCTGTTTGCCTGATATCTACTTTAGCAATAATTTTTTTTATGACCCTCTGACTCAACAAAGTAAATAAAAGTATATTTTATCACTGTTAAGCAGTTGTTAATGTTGATTTATTTAATATGTYATCATGCTTTTGATATTTAGAAGCTCACTAATTTATTCTGAAACTTGATCATTTCATAAGTCAAGGGTAGTGCATTTTAGTGTATTTTACATCTTATTTACTGTGTAAGATGAGATCTACAGTGGGAGRTGGCAAATCTTTTTGTAAAATGTAAATTAAGAAAACATAAAATCATCTTTACATAATAGCTTTAAACCTTACTTCTCAMTTTTTCTTGCCCAGATGATGGAAAATAATTTCAGCAAGTACCGATTTGATTTTGAACACAAACCCTTTGTAAAGCTAAACTAATTCTTTTAAGTCATGAAACATATATTTTAATTTCTCCTAATTGGCTCATAATTTCTTATTTGGTCTTATCTCAGGAATGCGCTCGCTCTCTCTCTCTCTCTCTCTCTCTCTCTCTCTCTCTCTCTCTCTAAATTAAGGAATTAGATCACATGATATTCAAGAGGTTGACAAACCCCCATGACTTCAGGATGAGTAGGTAAGTCAAAGACCCAGGATTGCTGACAGTGTAATTATAGGCAGGCTGTAGGCCAGGAAGAACCAATGTTTCTATTCACATCCTAAGTCAGGAGAAAGACARTGTTCCAGTTCAAAGCAGTGAGGCACAAGAAATTTTCTTTGTAAGGGAAAAGGGGCCAGGCTTTTTGGTTCAGGCCTTCAACTGATGGGATGAGCCCACTCACAGTAGGCAGGGCAGTCTGCTGTAGTCAGACTACCAACTTAAATGTCAGTCTCTTCCAAAACTACATGTATAGGATCATCCAAAATAATTTTGGACCAAATATCTGAGTACTTTATGACCCAGTCAAGTTTACACATAAAATTAACCATCATAGTATGTTATCAGTTATCTTAGGAAAAACGAAGAAATATGTTTATATTTTTTAAATGGAAAAATAAATGATGCATATTTTAATATCTACCTACCATGCAAGGGAGGAAGATTGGATAAAAACTAAACTTATCTGAAAGGGCCTTATTTTGGAATCATTTTAATATTTTACATGATTAGTAAGCAAAATTAACTTTTCAGAAAATAATCCCTAAAAAATTGGAAGCAAAGCAAATGAACTGAACCATTCAATAAKTTGGTTCCCAGTGGATATTTTACAAGATTTTAAAGTACTGACTCTGTACCAGTAAATACAAAAAAGACCTACCCTGCCTTCTTTATCTTCCTCCCTCCCCCAGAAAAAAGTTTTTAGTAATCACAATGTCAATGGTATTTTTATTCTGAGACTGTATATGTAGGTGGTGGATTGAGGATAAGGAAAAAGTACATTGGTGTCTATAAAGGGTGCTATTGTGTATATCCATTAGGACTGAGGCATTCACACCTCTGCTACTGGCAGTGAGTACTCAGCTGATTTGCCATTTAAGAGTTGTCACCAGCTGGAGACAGTTGCTTCATCCAAAGTCAAGGCTTCTTTCCAAGGACTTTCTCCTTCCAAGTTGTAAAAATCAAGGCCCCGTGGCTAAGGCAAAGCAAGGCCATCTTCACTCTCTTGCTACCCATGGGATCTSTTGTAGCCTTCATTGCAGTTGAACTCTACCCTCACAGGTTTTGGTCTGAAAGGCATACCACAGTAAATGTTGTGCACATAAATCTTCATCTCAAATCAGTTTTTCCGGAAAGYCCTTCAAGCAGTTATTGCCAAGATTAATTTGAGGAACTAAATTYTAAAATGAAAGTTTGGAACTGGATCATCCTGCTAGGTTAGCTTGGAGGGTCTTATTACTGGTGGCACGTGCAGTGTCGATCACCCACATGCTTTTGCAACATAATTGTTAAAATTTGCACTGATGGTAAACTGGAATGGGATACTGGGAATACTCTGGGGACAGTATCTCAAAAATTTGAGAGGTTCAAGGGAAGTAGTAATTATAAAGAATATGGAATTGGATGGCAACTTCATTGAATCTGGATATTCGGTACATTCAAGAAATGCTGAAGATGATTAATCACCAGTTAAGGCCCAGAGGGCCTTCTTGGCAACATATAAACTCTCATCTTCAGCTGGAGGACAGAAAAAGTTGAGGAGCAGGCCCAGGACTTCTTTGTCTGCAGCACCTTGCCAAAACAAACATCAAGAGCGGAGAGACTGTGTGTGTGTGTGTGTGTGTATGCTTGGATCCTGAGTATTCTGGGTCAAGGGGGAAGGTACATAAAGTTGGATGAGTTTTATTTATATGTAAACACTCTACAATAATAAAAATTTAACACTTTGGGAAGAACACTAACATTTAGGGTAGTGACCTGAGCCACTTACCTTGGCTTAGCTAAGTGAAGTATAACCAGAACTATCAAGGTAGGGAGGGGAAGGATCAAAAAGCTCAGAGGAGTGGTGTGTGCTACAGTGAATATACTGCATAAGGCAGGAGGGCCCAGCAGTAGTTTCATTTGCCAGAGCAATAAGGGGTGTGCTGTTTAAAGGGACCCCAGCATTACGTAGCAGTTCAATAGTAACTGTAGTTTGAAGGTCAAGGCTGATGGTAGGAAATGTTGCAGAACTGAGTGCCTTGATAACAATTGGAGGGATGAGATTTGTGAAATAGTAGACATCATCAGGTTGTAGTACTCAACTTCCCGGAGCAAAGTGGATAAGTTATCTTAAAAAACTGCAAGACCAATAGCAGTCAAAGGTCATGAACTATAGTGAGTCATAGAGAGATATTTAATGGAATAAATCTTCAATAAATGCAAGATAGATGRTCAGCCAGTAAGAACATAACCTAATCTATATAATCAGAACAAATCAAGAATGGATTATCAGGAGACAGAGCTGCCGCCACAATAAAAAAATCATGAACCTTTACCCAGTTCTAAGGCCCAGAACTAATCAATTGAGAAAAAGTTTGAAGCCCTAGGAGGAAAGACCCTCCAATACCATAGCAAGTGCATAAGTTAGTGATTTTCCCAGTGCTTCTCCAAAAGGACTTGACTTATGTAACTATACTGGGAATTGAAAAAATACCCAATATTTGACTGTTGGGCACAATTTCCAGGTTGGCATTGATGCATAGGAACCAAGAATTGTCATTCCTCTTGCCCCATTATAGTGTGGTGCATGTGAAAGTTAGGTAATAAATCTAATCTATGGGTAGTCCTCAGCCAASTCTAGTTCATAGTCCATTGTGCCTACAGATTTAACATACCAATTAAATACCTTCGAGTAGGTGATTTTCCTTACTCCTGACTATATTTAATTGGTATGGACTTGGTGTTTGGAAAATCCCTACAGTGTTTTCTTAGTATATGGAATTAGAATTACTATCAGAAGGAAAATTAAGTGGAATCTTTGAAACTACTCCACACTTTTAGCAACAATAGTAAGTAAATAGCACTATTGCCACTTGGGGAAAGGGGCAGAGATGAATGCCTAAAAGATCTGGGGATTAAAGACCCAAAGAACTCAGATCGGTGGTCTTTATTATGTCCCCATTTAATTGATCAATCTGTTTCCTCCAGAGGGGTCCTGGAAGATAACTGTACTACTATGAACTYCAAGCTACAGCCCCAATTGCATTTGTTTTACCAAACATGATATCTGTTAAAGCATCTTAGTAAGGCCTCCCTCCAATTTACGTTATGTGGCCACTGATCTGGTAAATACTTTCTTTGCCATCCCCATTAGAAAGGGTCAGAAAATTCACATTCATCCTGGATACATAAGAGTGTACAATAAATATTAACCCCTCTGTCCTTCCTCTTACTGTAGTCAGAAAGTATCTGGATCTTCTGGATGTAATACTGCATTGGTCCACATGTTGATAACATTGTGTGATTTGGACTGGATGAACAAGAAGTCAAAAGYTCATTGAAGGCCTTAATAAGATACCTACCCTCTGTGGTCAGGAGACAAGCTCTATGAAGATTCAGGGCCTGCCATATCAGTGAAATTTTTAGAGATCCAGTGGTCTACAATAGCCCTTTCACAATAACATTGCATCTCATTTTTTTTCTACTGAGAGGAAAATGGTGATTGGTAGGCCTTTTCAGATTCTGGAGGCAGCATATTTCATATAATTCATTTACACAAACAGCTTTCATCTTGGGGTCTAGAACTAAAGGACTCTAAGAGGTTTATGCTGCAGTGCAAGTGATTCTCCTCCGTGTACCCCACTACCTGATAGACCCAGTGTTGTTAAAGCTATCCAGTGATGGAAAAAGATACTATGTGGTGCTTATGGGCATGCCTGAGGGTAGAGAATCACAACATAGGCCCCAAGGATTTTGCAGCCAAGCCATGCCACCTGTAGTGGGAAATTATGTGTTGTTTGAAAAACAGCTCCTTCAGCTTCTGGTGATTGTGTGTCCAGAACTGAGTTGAGATCTGGAAAAACCCACAAAATCATGAGGTCAGGCAGACCCACCAACAATCCAATAAGATAGAAATGGTACCTGGGAAAGGATAGGGCCTGAGGGCATAGTAATTTGAACTAGCCCCTGTCCCAATTTTATTCTCCACTGTTGACCAGCWCCTCTCCTTCAGCTAGTAAGTAAGGCAGTAGCAAGAAAAATCCTTCCTGTGGGCAGAGTTTTTAGTTTTGCACATGGACAGCCACTTAGGGTGTGTGTTTGTGTGTGATTGTTAATTTGGGGTGTCAACTTGATGAAGAGATGTCTAGGGAACTGATAAATCATTACTTACAGGTGTGTCTATGAAAAAAAGATTAGTATATGGGTCAGCACACTAAAAGCAAAAACAACCTTGGATTGGATGGGCAGGTACCATCTAATCAGTTGGAGCCCTAGATGATGAAGAAAAAGTAAGATAGGGAGAGGGAAAACTCTAGCTCTTTCTTCCAAAGTGGGGTGCTTCCTCTCCCATTGCTGCCCTTGGACATCAGAGTACCGATTTATCAGCCTTTGGACTCTGGGACTTAACACCAGTGACCTTCTGGGTTCTCAGGCCTTTGRCCTTTCTTCTGAGGCTTTCAAACTTGAACTGAGCCTCA